CTTGTATCCATGCTGTATCTCCACAGCATTCGCAAAATTATCTCCATAACGTTCCCTCTTTTGTGAATGCCCCACTATCTTAAACGTGTCCCTCTTTCCCCAACTCTCCTCCCTCCCTTCTTTTCATCTGTCACCAAATTTTCTTTCTGCACCTCGGTTCTTTTCATCCTATTTCATTCCTCATCAGTTCCCTTTTCATACCTGTATTTGTGCACAAACAGCAACAGGTTGTCAACCATTTATGCAGGCTCAGAGCTTATCGTCACAAAGTGTGTGCATGCATGAGCAAGCACACATATGGTTTATTTTTATCTTGCATGGAAACATTTGTTGTTCCATCGGAGATTTAGGAAGACACATAGCACCGTTTACAAGGATTGATGGGTAATTGCCCTTACTGCACATATTTTTTCAACATATTATAAAAATCATGTATTGTCAACAACAACAAAAGAAATGCTTGCATGTTTATATGTGTTTTTGCATTCATCAGACACTATAGCTTTTGTAATTTTCACCTACTTCTTCCCATTCTCTAAAGACAATAACATTTTTGACATCATGTATACATACCATGTCATTGGAATATGAAGCACAGTGCAATGCATTGTACACTTTATATGGATTCAGACATTTTCACCTTGGGCCAAAGGAATAAACATTACATATGGCACACAAACAACCTTCTTTCCTTCCTAGACTATCTGAACCTAGTCAAAACACACTGATATGTGTGAGCATGCGCACACACACACACACACAGAGAGATATATGTACATACATTATATACACACACGCACATAGTATGTATGCATGTATATGTATAGATGTATATAGGTGTATGTATAGGTATATGTGTGTATGTGTGTATGTATATGTGTATGTATGTATGTATGTATGTATATATGTGTGTGTGTGTGTGTGTGTATGTGTGTATGTATGTATGTATATATATATTTTATATATATATGACTCTGCCTTTAAATGTAGAAATTCTCCAGGACCAATAAGCAGTTCCAAATAACCACATATATCACTAGAAACTGAGCACAAAACTTTATAATTACTTGAAGAATATAAGAGTATAAGAAATGAGCTTGGACGATGAGTCCTAAAATTCTCTACCCAGCAAATCTGGAAGGAAGAATCCAAGTTGGGAAAAGCTGGATAGCAATTGGACTTGGTGGAGGAAGACCTGCCATTTGTATGGCTGGTTCATCAGGTCTTCTGGTTATCAGTGAGCAACTAGTTTTTGTAAAAAAAAATTGTACAGGTAGTCCTTGAGCCCAAAATCTCTGTTACTAAGCGAGACACCTACTAAGTGAATTTTGCCCTATTTTACATCCTTTCTTGCCACAGCTGTTAAGTGAATCACTGCAGTTATGAAGTTAGAAACACTGTTGTTAAGTGAATCTGGTTTCCCCATTGACTTTGCTTGTCAGAAGATCGCCAAAGGTAATTGCATGACCTTTAGACACTGCAATCATGTAAATATGACGAGTGTCTGCATTTTGATCACATGACTCTGGGATGCTGCAATGGTTGTAAGTGTGAAAAATGGTAAGTCGTTTTTATTTTCAGTGCCGTTGTAACTTTGAAGGGTCACTATATGAACTGTTGTAAGTTGAGGACTAATTGTAGTCAGTTTCTTCTACAGTGAGCTACTCATCAGATTTATTGTCCCAAAGGCCACTAGTCCTCCATGTCTGTTTTGCATTCAGTGGGCAAATGGGAAAATCAAGTGGTATCTCTCAAAGAAGTGGATGTGGTTTCGTGATCTGATTACCAGTTCCTGCATTAAGTATCATTCTCTTTTTTTAATGCATGGCTCAATTTTCATGGCATATATTAATTGCCTGTCATCCATGCACACCCTGGCTATCTGAGGCACCAGTGGGGCAGCTTTCTAGTTTAGGGGTCCCCAACCTTGGCAACTTTAAGACCTATGGACTTGAACTCCCAGAATTCCCCAGCCAGACTGGCTGGGGAATTCTGGGAGTTGAAGTCCACAGGTCTTAAAGTTGCCAAGGTTGGGGACCCCTGTTCTAATTGACAGATGCACACATCCCATCTCCCAACTCCAAACTGAAATTACTTTGCTCCGGATTAAAAACAAAATGCATCCAGTTAGTGAGAGCATCAACTCCTTTAGGTAATACATTCATGTAGATTCAAAAGAAGTAATAGTAGCAGTGAAGGCTTATGAAAAAAGAGAATCTCTGCTTTATTAAGCTTGGAGCAACGTGGGGAAGGACTTCTGTAGCATAAGAACTCTGGGCTGGAAAGAAAAAGGCAGGTGGCATTTTCCAATCTTTGCCAGCTCAAGATCAGGACTGCAGCATGGCTCAAGGTGCCCTCTGCCAAGGGCACAAAAGCACACTTTGTCTTCAGAAAGACAGTGACTCTTACTGTCCTTTGGGGAAATTGAAAAGGGGGCATGGAAGGGTGAACCCCGTTGCTTGACTCAGGAACCCAAATAATTGAAGAGCAAACAAGATGGAGAGGGAGATAAATGTATCCACTGACCAGGCCGTTCTTTCCTTTCTTGCATTGAATTAATTTATCTCCTGCCCACCAAACTTCATTTACTCTGAAAGAGAGAGACCTATAGATGGGGGCATATGGAACAGGAGGGAGGTTTAATTCCCTTTTGACCCTAAGTGTTTTTATTTTCTTCCTGAAACTTCTCGAAAGAAGAGAATAAAAGGTGTCATAATGAGAGCTCCCCTCTTGTCTGTTTTTCTTTTCCCAGATTGGCCTTCTCCAACCTGGTGCCCTCTAAGGCATAGGGGATTATGTAATTTGGCACATGTAGAAGGATTCATTTTGGGGGAAGCTGATCTTTTTTCTTTACATTGGCTGTTTCAGACAGGGATACAAGAGATAAAAGAAGTACTGTATGTTGTCTCACCTTTTTTTTCCTTCCAGAAGTGATCACGGTTTATAATAAAGCTGGCTTAAGTAGCTGCAAAAAGCGCTTGCCATTATTTCTTTCTCTGTCTCTCACACATTCATAAAAATGCACACACAGAGAGTCTAAAAGCAAAAGTTTAATGTGGAAATAGAAATATAAAAGTGTGAAATACTGCTTGTTCTTATCACTTGAAAAGACGTGCTCTTCATTTGAAATGACAGCCTAGGCACACTTCTTAATAAATCTGTCCAGATCAATTTTTCTTCTGCTCAGTTGAGTGGACATCTCTCTGTTTCACTGGGAAATATGTACAAGAGAATTTATCAAGACTTGACCAGATTCTGTCTAATTCTGAAAACAAATACAAATGATCAGGCCATCTTGTCTAGTAGTGAATTACAGCTAGTCTTTGACTTACAATCTTTCGCTTAGCGATTGCTCGAAGTTATACAGCACTGAAAAAAAGAGACTTATGACTGTTTCCCACACTTACAACTGTTGTAGCATCATGTGATCAAAATTCAGACGCTTGGCAACTGCTGTGTATTTTATGACAATTGCATTGTCCTGGGGTCAGGTGGTCACCATTTGTAACCTTCCCAGCCAACTTTGGACAAGCAAAGTCAATGCCAGATTTGCTTAATGACCGCATGATTTATTTAACTGCAGTGGTTCTTTTAAACAACAGTGGCAGAAAAAGTTGTAAAATGGGTCACAACTCAGTGAACTGCCTTGCTTGGCAATGGAAATTTTGGGTTTAATTGTCGAGGATTACCTGTAATTCTTTTTGCTGGTCTATGACCGAATAAAAGTTGATTGATTGAATTACTTCTTACCCTAGGATCTCTGATGTGTAAATAGTAAGCTGGTTATTTTAATTTTTTTAGTAAATTATACTAAACAAACAGAATAATGATCTGTGATAATACAGTCAGAAATAATATAACTGATCAGCATTTACGGTATATAATCTTTCTGTAACTTTTTTTTAACCCTTGATTATCATTTGTTGCTGCTAATACAAAATTCTAGCTGTTGTTAATGGATCTAGCATTAGTTCCTCCTTTTTTGATACTTCTTAAATATTAGGGAGAAAAGTCAAAGATGCTAGATTTTCATAATCTTTGGGTTTCTGTAATTTTTTTTTACTCTCTAGCACAGCTCTTACTTAAGAGTTTATATTAAGGTTTTACTTGACAAAACAGCCTCTAGGCTGCTTTGTTCTCATGCTTTGAACTACAGCTGGATGTGCTGAAGTTGGCAAGGAAAACCTTTCATGCCACTGTGACAAATTTCCACTTCCCGTAGGCGCTGTTGACACTTGAACAAGAAATCCCCAAAGTTGCCAAAGTGGTCCAAATGTGGTGCTTTTTAAAAATTATTATTATTTTTTATTCCACTAGACTCCACAGGAACTCATGGCAGTTTACAGATCAAAATGATCTGGGATTGGGATTTTCTGATTTCCAAGTTCTTTAGGCTCCATATTTTCTACACCCCTAGTTAATGAGGCCCCAGGGGACATTTTCTTAATTATCAGGATGTGAACAGAACCTTTGTTCTGTTCAAATGTGCCTTTATAATCAAACCTTAAACCATTTGGACAGAAACACACCATAGGGTAACTGTAGCTTCTGACAGCCCGGTGCCCTCCGGTTGTGGTAAACTGCAATTTCCAGACATAGGGACAACTTCTTGGAAGGGGTTGCAGACCATGAGGTTGTAGCTCTAGAACTGCCCTAGCCATGAAACGGGGAGACCTCCTCAGGTATTATTAAGGACAGCAGGACATGGATCTTCAGAAAACTGCCTTTCCTTTTATTTCAAGAATATTTGGGACCAGAAATGAACTTTCTGGTGATGTGTAGCTCCAAATGTACTTGTGTGTTGCCTTTTAAATCTCCATTTCGGACCCAAAATTTCTTCTTCAGTATCTGACAGTAGAGAGGAGTGGCCAGGAAATTTCTGTCCCAAGGAGCCATGGGAACAGGCTGACCCCTTTCTAGATGTTTCCATTACAAAATTTCCCTGTCTCTGTGTAACATTTTTCTCCTCTTCTCTGCCTCCCTGTCCCCAGCTCTTTCTGGCCGGCCTGCTTTTAGCTGTTCATAATGCCTCTTGGGAAAGGCTGGAAGAAAACAGTCGAAGACATTGCCAGTGTCTACGACATCAAGGAGAAGCTGGGCGCGTGAGTAAAAAGGAAGGGCTGGCTGGAGATCTGCATATGGATGCTCTCCTGCTCTGGGAACCCTGCCCTGGCGGGCTTCATCTCCCCCTCTGTTTCTTGATATATTTACTTTCCAGGCTCTGGGATTAGCCCTTCTCTGTTTTTACACTCATCTTCCCCAACTTGTGATTTGTTGGGAATCTCATAGGCCACGTTGTGTGGGGGATTCTGAGTCTTGGAGTGCAAGGTTGAAGAAGGCTGTCATAGCTTCAGTCATTTTGCTTTTCCTCCACCCGCTTCCATTTCTCTTTTTTCTTTCCCAGTTGCATCTTACCCTCGCACATCTATCATGCAGCTAGACCACGCTTCCCTCCTTCCCCTTCCAGCATTAAAGCACTGGATTGATGTTAAAGATGGTGTGATTTTAAATAGGTGTCTAAAGATGCATTCCCCCTCCCGCCCCCCCCACCACATAGCAGATAATCTCACATGTGCAACGTGGGAGAATGTTTGCAGGTCTGAGATCTGCCTTCCACTCTCCTGTGCTCCATCCCTAGCATGATGCTGACTGCTTCTCCCTCCATCTGCTTTCCCTGCCCTGAGGTCCTCAGCCTGCCCCCCCTCCCAGCCAGCCAGCCAGCCTCTGCGGCTGGATGTGCTCCCCCCTCCTGGAAGAGCCTCTTCTGCAGAGAAAGACCCCGGGAATGCTGCAGCCCCGCCTGCTTAATTTGCATACTGCGATCCCATTGGCTCCCATGCCCTCAGACGTTCTTTGGACAATAATAGACCAGGAGCCAGAGGGAATTTGGGGAGGGATGGGTGGGAGAGAAGACAGGTTAACCCTTTGTTAGCCACATGGACCAAGCCTTCCAGTTTGGAGGAAGGGCAGAAAATCCAAATCCCTTTCCAGAGGTAGATAAAACAGGCTTCTTTGTTTGCTCAGGTTTCCTAGGGAATGCCTCTCTGTTGTTTTTGTCTGCAGCACTAAGAGATCAGGTTTGCACAGGAGAATGAGTCAGCCAGCCCTGAAAAATCTTTATCCATGTTACCAGTTTGCATACTTGACACACTGTAGATCAGTGATGGCGAACCTTTTAGAGACCGAGTGCCCAAAAACCGCCCCCCACTCCTGTCCCCACTCTGCCCTGCTCGCTGGGCCACCCACCACCTCCATGGCCCGCCACAGATCACCCAGGCAGCCCAGCAGCACCATGGTGGCCACGCCCTCCGCCCGTGCCCCACAGCATCATCTGCGTGCGATGGGGCGCAAGGGCGGAGTCTTGTCCCCGCTGCCTGGCTACCATGTCCTTGGCTGCGCTGCTTTGCATGGGCCGTGCCCGGGGCGACTCTCCTCTGGGGGGGCTGCTGGTAAGGGGCCGTGGGAGGAGGCAGGGCTGGGACGACAGTGCATGTGCCCACAGAGAGGGTACCAAGTCCGCCTCTGGCACGGTGTCATAGGTTCGCCACCACTGCTGTAGATGCTGCACCCAGTTTATTCCAAAATCATAAAGTGCCTACCAAGGGAAGAGACATGTTTGAATTAACTCGTTTGGTGTGTGGTGGAGCAAAGATTGGAGGGTGTGTGTATGTGTATGGGAGTTGAAGACCCTTGGGGAACCTGCACAGTAAGTCTCAAAAATTTTCTACCACCTTTGTATTTCAGTCACTCTGGCTTTCTTTGAATGGTCTCCCTCCTGCAAAGCCAAAAACAAAACATAATCCTCCCCCCACCAAAAAAACAAAACAAACTTTCCCCTCTTTGAACTACTCATTCTTTCCCCATCTCCTATTTTTAAAAATAAGGCAAAGTTCTATTGACTGATTCTATATTCTGAAGAAGAACACACAATTGTTTCTTTGTCACAGAACAGTTTGAAGCAAACTGAGCTTTTTTTTTTCATGTAGCAACTCTAAAATCAGACAATCTGCAGAGAGTTAAAAGAATTACATTGGTGGCATGGCGACACTTTTTCCCTTACATTCATAATGCTTTTTTGCTTAACATCCCGTTCAGCCAAAGGTTTCCAAGGAATTTAAGAAAAAAAACCCCCCAAACAAACCCAAAGCCAGCTTTCCTAGAAATCACAATTTAGTTGGGCACAAACATACTTATGTGTATACTGCTGAATTGCTGTTGCAATTGGATTTTTGTAAGAAACTTTAGTGACTGCTTATGTATATGTGAGTACTTACACATACATGCATCTATGCTGCCTTTGTTTAATTCTTATTCTGACAGGGGGGCTTTTTCAGAAGTGCTCTTGGCCCAGGAACATGGATCTCAGCGCCTTGTAGCCCTCAAATGTATTCCTAAAAAAGCACTGCGAGGTAAAGAAGCAGCTGTGGAGAATGAAATTGCTGTACTCAAAAAGTAAGTGAGTTTGCATTTCTGCACTTTTGTTCCAGAATGTAAAATGAGTTTCGTGGTTCAGGGCTCAGCATCCATTTTTGTTTTGGGACTTCATTTTGTTCAGTTAATAACAATAACTTAATGCAAGTATAGATGATATTTCACTGATCTTGTAGGGAGTCCAGTTTCCAGATATGGAAAAGAGATAACATTGTCTGTCCTTAATAGCTGTATGGCAAAGAGAAAATCAGAGAGGCAATTTGACCTGCAAGCGTTTTTTGCACAGGCCAACCTACCACAGTTCTGGACTCAGAAGGCAATGCCTTTTCTCTTTAGGTAAGGGAATGTGGTTTCCATATGGTTTTGATCTCCTTCTCTTGAGTGCACTTTTCCATTCTTTTAACTTTTGGGAGTGTCTGGGCTTAAATAGGAAGCACACCACATTTAGCAGGGATTTCAGTGAATTTTGCAGGGATAATTTTATTTATTCGACATTTTAGCCTTCAGCTAAGAACCTCAGAGTGACCTACTTTTCCTAAGGATTTCTCTAGCCAGGTTAAAGTTAATGATAGTAATTGTCTCAGAATTATTTATCACTTTTTCCCATTTTCCCTTAACCATGGAATAAACGTGTCCTAGCAGTTGTGGGGTTTTTTCGTCATGATCTCCTGACCTTGCCTTCAGCTCACTGCCAACCCACATCTGAGTGGCCTTAACAATGTCTTCTCCCTTAGGCAGCATTCATTTATAGTGACACCCTAATGGACAGGATCAGCCTGATACCTACTGGCAACTTTAGGCTGGTGGGGGTCCTTGTCTGGTCTTGTCTTCTGGGGCCATTCTGCCCATTTGAGGACAGTAGTAGGAGAATGTGGGTCTTTTAAACCAGCTTCTCCCCCTGTGCCCATCAAGCCTCCAAACTGATCCCCAGCTAAAAGACCTGTGTTTAAAAAAATAGATCAGCCCAACTAACAGCTAACAGGTACTAGAACTGGGGCAGGGGACAACACTAGAAAAAAGACTCCTGCTGCACCATACAATTTCCCCTCCATTATTAGCAGTTAGATTACTTTTAAACATGGATTTACTGATCTTTTAGGGAAGCACTGAAACCATGTCTAAAAATCACCTGAAAAATAGCTAAGTACTTGAGGGGAACTCCCTTACCATGCAACCTATCCACACCTGTCAGCTGCACCATGCAGCTGTCTCCAATTCCTATCAGCTCTTTTTTTTTTCTTTGCTGAAAAATGTGGGAGAACAGTGTGGTGATTTCCACACCACAACTGGGAGAGAAATCCATTGAAATGGGGAGAACTGGCCTTTTTACTCTCTAAATTTCTAATCCTACCATAGCATCAGAATCCTGTGTGTAAGGAATCTGCTGTCCTCTTTTTCTGCCACCTCTCATTGTCCTGGTGTACAGCTGGCAGATATATAATCCACCTATCAGAACTTGCTTCCTCCTCTGCCCCCATCTCAGTTAAATAGTGTAACTGGTGGATTCTCACCAGCTGGTAATGTTTGGTGGAAGAAGAGGAAAGCCAAACTATAGAAATCCACCAGCCTCCTTAACTTGCCCTATATATAATAAACATTGGTTTATTGGTAAATAAGCATCATTTTCTGGCTAGTGGTTGGCAATGGGAGCTGCATGTTTTATGCCTTTTTTGCCCAAGGATTGATGGAGAGCACTTTAACTAGAGGAGAGTCCCTAGTGAGATTCCTATCTGAGTAGGGCTTCACCTAACTCTAATCAAACATTAAGCCTTAGGAGTATCTACATGGCTTTCATTATGCTTCCTACACATATAGGGGATGACCAGGCTGAGCCCGAGGGAGGGGTCAAATATGTCATCTGTCAAGAGTCCCTTCGCGCCCACAAGAGATCTGAGTCCATCCCACCTTGAATTCCTTTCTATTCTTAACTCCTGCTAATTTCCTTTGAGCATTAGTAGTTCAGATTCTTGTGGAGGACTCAAGCTTACAATAAATCTTTATACACATTTGGATTGCCTGGATCTCCTGATTTCCCTGGTGCTTGACAACACATACCCTTTGTGAAGTTGCCCTTCACTCTCCCATCTCCTAATTTTTGTTGTAGGATTCAACATGAGAACATTGTTGCTCTGGAAGATATTTATGAAAGTCCCACTCATTTGTACCTGGCCATGCAGCTGTGAGTAGAAGTCCCTACCCTATGAATGTGTTTCTACTTGTGAGATCTAGGGCAAAGAATTTGTCCTCTGAGATAAATGTCTGCTTCTGGAGGGATGGAAAATGGCATTACAATTCCATGTAGATCACAACAATGCATGTAGTTCCTTCAAAGAAAAAGGTCCTTGCATCCAATGAGATTACAACTAAAATTAATCCTTTCCTGATTGATGCAATCCTGATTGAAATTTGAGAAACTGCATTTGAAGGGTGCCAGCTTGGGAAGGGCTGGTTTTAATAACCAGCTAACATAGGGAAGACATGTCTGCAGAGAATCAAGTGCAAATGATATTTCAGATATATTTAGTTTTATTCCAAGTTCATGTAAGAATGAGTTTGAAGGAGAGAACTGGAGACAGACAACACCATTGAACCTTCAAATAAAGGATCCCAGTTTATAGGATCAGTTTTCTTTTTCTGGTATGAATAGAAGCTCTGGAGCTCACCATACCAAACATACAGTATGTACTGTATGTATGTATGTATGTATGTACCTGGACAAGTCCCTGCAATTTTCCTGGCAAGATTTCAGAGGTGGTTTGTCCTTCCATGGACCAAGGTCATCCCACTGTCTTTGTGTCTAAAGTGGGATTAAAATTCCCGGTCTCCGGGTTTCTAGTTTGATGCCTTAATCACTACGCCAAATTGACTCGAAGGCATAAAATCAGCACTATCCATATAAGCTGCATGTTGGGTTCCCAGGCCACCCTTTTCAATTGGGGAAGAAAATCGTTCCTGATGGTTGGATTCTTCCTCTTGCTGAAAGGATGTGAATTTAACCAGCTCTCTCCTGGGCGCAGGGTGACAGGCGGAGAGCTCTTCGATCGCATCATTGAACGAGGCTATTACACAGAAAAGGATGCCAGCCAACTCATCCGGCAGGTGCTAGAGGCTGTGAATTACCTGCATGATCTGGGAATTGTTCATCGGGATCTCAAAGTGAGTATTGTTGGGATGCTTTGGGGTGTTCAACAAGTCCCAACTTTATGCAAGAGAGAGGACCCCAACCCCCCTCCCCCAGACTAGGAACTCTGCTTTGCTGATAGACATTTATATTTAGCCTGGTTATTGAGTTAACCTATTTTTCTGGGTTTCCAAAATAAATTGAACTACAAACTACCTGAGTGGTATCTGTTGGCACAAAAACTAAGCTGCCATTACCACCAAAAACAAGGTTAAAAAGATATGTGAAGCCTAGTTTTTGGAATTCTTTCCAGCCTTTTGTTATAAGAGTCACATCACTGGGAGGAAAGTTGAATTGAAAAGAAAAATTAGCCAGGGTTATGTTGTGTGTTAAACTGGCCCAGTGTGTTGTACAGAAACAGCTTTGCTTTTAGGATATTAATGAGAACAGAGATTTTGTAATATAGCCAAGGTACATGGTTGTGTTTGTAAAGTAGCCAGAGTACTTGGCTATTAACGCTGAAGGGAAGGGATTATTCTAAAATGTGATCTACAAATTTCTGAATATGTTACTTCAATATAAAATCAGCTCCTGGATTCTGTCTCTTTGTCACATGTTGGCATAATCAAGATGTAAATTAAGAGTGAGGCTACACGGAGGAAGCAGCTGAATTTTGTAAACTTAATTTTTGTCTAACAAAAAAATGGCAGGTTTATCTTAACCAGACTTTGTGCCAGCTCTTTGCAATGATTAAGCAAATGTAGAGCTTTGCTCTGAGGGATACTTTTAATCCAAATCTGGCAGTTGGGAGGATCAAGAGTGGGGTAATTAGTTCCTCTGGAGTTCTCACAAATCTCTGCTTTTAATGTTGCAATTAGGCAGGTACTGAAAGGGAATAAAGGGCAGGAATGGTTCATTCTCCCGGTTAATTCTCCCTTCATGTGTAATCTTATTTGCATTAGGACCAAAATTCAGAATGTGAAACTCACTGTAATGTGTTACTGCAGTTACTCTGTCTTCTGTTACAATCTGTGAGGCAGAATTTAATCAGCAGAACTAAAAACAATACAAAGCTGCTTTCTGCAAGAAATGGTGATTTCCAGAGAAAGAAACTGGATTCAGGGTCATTTTTTGGGTGGTCCTGCAAAATAGGCCAGCTGGAAGAAGGAAGTGGAGGAGGATGGAAAGATCAGAATGTAACATGGGAAACATTCCATCCCCCAAATCAGTATTTATCAACCTTGGCAACTTGAAGATGGGCACAATTCTCCCGTTAGCCATGTTGTCTGGGAAGTTCTGGGATTTGAAATCTGCCCATCTTCATGTTTCCAAGATTGAGAAACACTGCTCTAAATTAACCTTCTGAATAGGGGTGCAGTTGTCACTTAGTAAGATGCAGGTTTTGCTCCTGCTGCATCAGAGTCCTCCTCCTTTTACAAGCAAATGGCTGCTGTGCATGGAAAAAAATGTTGAAAGTACTATGCTGATTGATGAATGCAGAGTAGAGGAAGTCCCACATTTGTGTGCTGACATTGGACCAGTCTTAATAGGAAATGGAGGAGATGCAGTATTTTTGTTTGATAGCGATGAGCATTTTCATCCCAATAACTGTCCAGTTAGAGCACTAGTCTGTGGAACAATACCATTGCTAGTCTGGAGAGCCACACTGATCTCAAACAAGTGATTGAGGCCTACCCAGCATCTAACAAAGCATGCCATTCTTATGTTAGGCCTGGAAGAATGAATCAGTTTCTGTCCTCTTCATGATCATTATTGAGGCAGTTACTATCAGTAGAACTTTTTGTCACCACTGATAGTGCCTGACCATTTTATCTTGTGTTAGCCTCTTTTTAAAAAAATACGTTCAAATTTCCCAAGCCTCTGTGTTCTTCTGCAGTGACTCCTGTCTTGGCATTATGTCTCTGATTTAAAATACCTAAGTTTTAGTTTTTATCTTCTTCTAGCACAGAATTGTTCTTCTTGTGGTCCAAAGTATACTCAACAATTTTATCTGGCACTATAATTTAAGAGCGTCATCTTTCCATTGTGTAGTCTTTCTTATTGCCTAGCTTTCACAGCAATATGCTACATCTGGGAAGAACATGGCTATTGCAATACATGTCTTTAGTACTTTATCCAGGTTTATCGTAACCTTTTTTTTAAGTGGCAGATGTTTCTTTAGCTTGTGGATTTTTGAGCCTTTGAGTGAGGAAGATAAAGTCTGTCATCACTTTAACTTCTCTCACTGTTTTGTTGGGTTGGCATTTCTTGTAATCTTAGTTGTCTCCCCCCCCCCCCCNCCCCCCCCCCCCCCCCCAGTCTTTTCCTAGTAAGAAGCAGACTGGCTTTTATGAGCGAGAAGCAGAGTTTTGTATTTTTTGTTTTTACCTTCAACGTGAAATTTCTTAAATTTTCTTTGATTCCCAATACTATGGTCAATGGGAAGCAAATCTAAGCATATCTGAGGTTATTGATGTTTCCCAACAAATTCAGTTACTTCTTCTTCTATAGCTTTTCTCAATTTATTCTGCATATGAGCTAAATGCTAGAATGCACTTTTGGCATACTCCTTTCTAATTATGAGTGGTTTAGTTTCTCTATGATTTAACTGTTGCTTCCTGGTTATTGTGCAAATTATTCAGTAGGCTGATGAGGTGGCCAGGTACACTATCCTTTCAAGGGCTATTCACAATGTTGTGCTCTGTATGGTCAAAGGTCTTTGTATAATCAACAAACAAAAATAGATGTCTTTACCTTTTCTATTATCCCCTGGAAGTTAGGAATGTGGTTTCTAGTCCATTTTACCCTTTTACCTTTTCTGGTTCCATATATGAATTCTGAACTACAGAATCCTGAACATTATCTTACTAGCATTTTGAGATAAGTTCAATTCAGTGGTTTGAGTATTTCTTAACACTTCACTTTTTAAAAAAGTATTGGAATATAAATTGATCTTTTCCACTCTTTTCCATTCCTGCTTAACAACCTCAAATATCACTTTAACTGCATCATTTTGTAAACCTGCAAAAGCTTCTGCTGTATCTACTACAGCTTTATTGATAGCAGTGTTTTCTAGGACTCATTTAATTTTACTTTCCAATACACCTTGTTTCAACACAGTGGTCAAACCTGTATATATATTATTGTTTGAGGGAACTTTCTTTATAATTCTTTTATATGTTTGCACCATCTTTTCTTGATATGTTTCTTCTCCAGTATATCTTTCTTTTGTCTTTTCATGCTCATATTTTTACAAAAGGTCCTTTTATGAGCCGTGGTGGTGCAGTGGTTAGAATGCAGTATTGTAGGCTGACTCTGCTCACTGCCAGGAATTCAGTCCTGACCACCTCAAGGTTGACTCAGCCTTCCATCTTTCTGAGGTCAGTAAAATGAAGATCCAGATTGTTGGGGGCAATATGCTGACATATAACCTAAGTGCTATTGCTATTTGTTTTATGTAATTTTTAAAAACAAAGCTCTTTTCATTCCCGTTCAGATGTTCTCTTCAGTTTCCTTGTGTTACTTACTGATATATATAATTCCTTGCCTTTTGCTGTTTTTTTTGGAATTTAGCATTGGATTACCATTTGCTTTCTGCTTTTCTTCAGTTATTTCTGATGTATCGTGGAGTTAGAAGTGAGAATTTTATTCTTGGTTCGCAAAGAAAACAAGAGACCAGTTCTTTCTGGTTTAAGATGATGTAATATATTTACCCATGTTACACAAATAACAAAGGAGGAATGCAGAAAGCTTTCTCACACTGAAACCAACAATTGTTGACCTGAGATAAGAAGTGGATAAGAAGATATAGACTAAATCTGCCAAGCTAAGGGATGCATGAAGTAGGGCCCCTTATCACAATAAAGGGAATAAGCAGAAGGCCCAGCTTCTTTGCTCAGTGAGGCAAATTAGGTAAAAAGAAGAATCAAATGGTATCTCAAGGTCTAAGTCCAAATACTTACCTCATTAGTAAGATTAAGATTGTGGGCTTTATTAAAGGTAAAGGTAACGATTTCCCCTGTCCAGTCTTGTCTGACTCTAGAGAGCGGTGCTGATCTTCGTTTCTTAGCCGAGGAAACCAGTATTGTCCGAAGATGCTTCTGTGGTCATGTGGCCAGCATGACTATACACTGAGGTGCATAGTGTGCTGTTTCCTCCCCATCAAAGTGGTACCTATTTATCTACTTGCAGTTGCATGTTTTCAAAGTGCTAAGTTGGAAGGAGCTGTGGCAAGAACAGGAGCTCACTCCATCATGTGGTACTCATGTCTTGAACTGCCAACCTTCTGGTCAACAAGCCTAGCATCTTAACCCCTAAGCCACCACACCTCTTCTGAGCTATACTAAGTAATGAATTATGTGCTATGGATTGGCACATTTCTCCCTGTTTCTATATAGTCCTTACTGACCTAAATTTGGGGTTCCCAATTTGCTTTGACTGGGGCTCAGCAATGACAGTAAAGGTATCTTAATAAAGATAATCGAACTCAGACCTCTATTGTTCTGGTTCTTGTTTTAGTAGAGCAGTTCTTCCCTCAGGATAATATTATCAAACAGCTACTAGGCTTTGTTCTGCTTTTTACATTTCAGGATACTTTTGTTCGTTCCATTTTTAAGAAATTCACAGATTTTTGTCTAGAAATCTTCGAGCAGTCTATTTATCAAACGGAGTCTGTAAGATCTATTCTTTACCCTTGCTGCATAATCATGAAGTTGAATCCTGTTGGCTTGATTATTTTGTTTTAAGTTGTAATTTGTAGGCAGGGAGTAGTCATCTGTGCCGTAATTAGCACCGGGTCTTCTTTATGCTGACTAAGAGAGCTTGTCTGTTTTTGTTTATTGAGTTGTCCATTGTCCATCCAGTAATGTCCATGTATAGAGTCACCTTTTCAGTTGTTGAAAGGAGGTATTATAAACATTGAATTTTCTTGCCAGAACTCTTATTAGTCTCTCTCCTACTTTATTTTGTACACAGAGAAAAGTTTTCCTATTATTCCAGATGGTATTACATAGTGTTTTGAAAACCAGTTTGGTGGTCAAGGCCTCAGATTAGAAATCAGGAGACTGTGAATTCTAGTCCCACCTTAGGCACGAAGCCAGCTGGGTGACCTTGGACCAGTCATTCTCCAGGAACTTGTCCAAGCAGTTACCAGGAGTCAAGACTGTCTCAAAGGAACCAACCAACCAACAAAAAAACAAACATCATTTTAGTATGATCTCTTCTTTTGGTGCTGCATGTTGCCATAAAATTTTCTCTGCATCTATGGCTGGAGTATAGTTTTGAATCACTTGTAACATTGATTGGATTGCCTTGAACTCATTTGAGATCATTCCATCATTTTTAAGTTGTATCTAAGCATTGGCTTTTATACCTTTTCGTTAACAGTGATGGCTACTCCATTTCTTCTGCTCTTGCCCACGGCAAAAAATATGGTGTCTCACTAATGTGAAGTGATGCGTTTCAGTCCATTTGATTTTGTTGATTTCCAGAATGTGAATGTCAGTCTTAATATTTCTGCTCTGAAAGCATCAAATTTGCCCTCGTTCATGGATTTGACATTTCATGTGCCAGGGATACACATGTCTTTATAGCATCAGATTTTTATTTTGCTTTGGATGCATCAGCAGCTGAACATCCTTTTAGCTTTTGTCAAATCACAAACTCCAGTCCTATTTGTGCTTACCTCCTTTGGTTGCTCCCAATACTTGTGGGATTCCTTTCAAATTGGAGGTGGGGAGAGTTATTGTCCAGTATTATTTTGAGATTCTCCTGGTTGTAAATGTCCATTTTGTTGGCAGAATACTGGAGTGGGTTGCTATTTCCTTCTACAGTGGATTGGGTATGGTTATAATCCCTGGTTTGTGACACTCCTGGAAATTACATAATGATGTAGCTCGCAAGTATTATTGGAATACACAAAACCCCCTTACTGATCCATGAAGGGAAAATTAGCATTAGATGGTGTACGTGCACAGAGAGAGAGAGAGAGAGAGAAATCTTTTTGCTGCCATCCAATTTTAGCTGCCAGACATATTTATACAAGGATCTGTTTTGCACCCGTGAAGGCATGGAAGATGTTGGAATAAGGGGGGGAGGAACTACATTAATGCCAGTATAGCTAAGGACACCTTAAGCCTCTGCCAGTCATGGGGTGGCAAGGAGATGAAGGCAATGCCTTTAGGACAGAGCAGAAAGAAAATGCAAGTGGGGGAAAAGCTCTATTCTTATTATCTTTGGTTGTATAGAAACTAGAAACTCTTAAGATCCTTGTGGGAAGGAAGACATAGGAAACATGGTGTATGTAACTTTACTCTGTTTTGCTTGTCCAAACAGCCTGAAAATCTCCTGTATGCTACACCATTTGAGGATGCCAAGATTATGATTACGGACTTTGGGCTGTCTAAAATTGAGGCTGATGGTATCATGTCTACAGCTTGTGGAACCCCGGGCTATGTTGGTGAGTGTGGTAATGGAGAAGGGCGAGGGGCTGAACATGTTCTGTGTTAATAGCCACTCTTGCGTAGATGTGCAAAGCCTTTCCTGTAGAAAATGGATAATTCAATTCAATGTTCAATGATAATAGTCCACGACAAGGAAAGACTACCTTATACAAATATCTTAAAGAGCATTTGATTTCCCCCCCCAATATTTATTTATTTATTTATTTATTTATTTATTTATT